AGAGAGAGAGAGAGAGAGAGAGAGAGAGAGCGGAGCATCGAGATGTAAACCAGGGCAAATTTTCCTCTGCCACCCCCCTCACCATTCCACTTAGGATTTAGTTCATTTACAATCTAAGACCCCCCCTCCAAGGGAATAGACAGTTGTCATAGAAATACATTTTGATGATCCAGGCAATGATCCAAAGATGAATAACCTTTAAAAAAATAATAACTCAATACATTAGGTACAGCTTGACCAGAATTTGCAGGAAGAATATACCCAACTCTCACAAAACCTTGGGAGTTAGAAACGACATTATTTGGTGACTTTTGTGAAACACTTATTTATATTGCACAGAAAAAAGAATACCAAGATTCCAGCATATTGTCTCTGTCCTGTGAAAAAGACGTCAATTTTTTTTTCATTTTTTAAAAATGTTTAATTAATAGAAACACGGACACCCTATTAAAGTAAAGAAATAAAAAATAAAGAACATGTTTCTCACAGGACAGCGACGATATGTATGTCATCGCTGTCCATTGATCACCATACCGTTGTAGATTTTTTTTTTTTTTTGGGTAGGGTGGGGGCAATTACAAACTGTTTTACAGCACAGTGTGGTATGACAAAGAAAAGAAAAAAATACATTTAACTCAAAGGATTGAGCAACTATCTATGTTCCATGGCCGTAACAGTTTTGTTTGTGTACATTTAAATGTTTTGATATTTTGAATATTATATAATGTCAGTGGAATAATACTTTCTATGACAAAAACCAATCGATGTTTATGATTCTATCAGCATGTAGCAATGTGTAGCAAAGTAAAATGACACCTCAGGATGTCCATACATTTAATGGCCAATTTCACCGACTTCACCAGAAATGTACCTTTATTGTCAAACATATGCTCAAAACACTTGTTGAGAGACTACAATGACGTAAAGTAATGTGGTCAGATTTCTTCCTCAGCATGTTTCAGTTGCTTGTCTTCAGTCTGCATGGTGTGAAACAGATTGATCAGAATATTACTGGATAGAACTCAAACGAACCTAAATCCTAGCGACAACAAGATACATTCCAGGCTCATTAGCACGTGTCAATCTCATGTTGTTAGCTAACACGACCGCAGTGCATTTGAGTCCCACCTCACGAGCTCTACTGTGTTTGGCGCCGATGATAGTGGATGTGGCTGTATAGATGGGGTACTTGTCACATTTTTCAGCACATTTTCTCATTTGCTCTTGTAAAATAAAATGTTTTGTGTCATTTTAATTGTATTTATTTCTTACTTATTTCAGTTCTTATTTCAATTGATATTTCAGTTTTTATTTAATTCAATTGTTATTTCAATTTGTATTTCAACATGTTTCTATTTGTCTATTTGTCTGCTTATCCTCACAAGGGTCCCGGGAGTGCTGGAGCAATAGGTGGGGGTACACCCTGAACTGGTTGCCAGCCAATTACCAGGCAAACCGTCCGCGCTCACACTCACACTTGGGGATAATTTTGAGTTTTCCATTAACCTGCCACGCATGTTTTTGGAATGTTGGAGGAAAACCGGGGTACCCGGGAGATAACCCATGCAGGCGCATGGAGATCATGCAACTCCACACAGGAATACTGGAGTCGGAATCGAACCTTGCACCTCCGCACTGTGAGGCCGACGCGCTAACCAGTCGAGCCATGAAAACTGGTCACAAACATGGACATGAAACATATAAATAAAAATGGCATTACAAAACAATAAATGAAAGACAAAAGTTATGAAGACAATTGATTCAACAAAAAGGCACACAAACCTCATAGGTTCACATCCAGAGGGGGCTAAATATCCTTAGAAGTCTTCCTTGTCTCCTTCTTCCATCGTTTAGTCAGTAGTTAACTCTACTTTTGGTATTATCTTGACTTCATTATGGCTGCGCAGAGCTCACAGAGTAGTTGTCTGAGAGGGCGAATGCACGTGTCAATTAGTGTCGGGCAGAACCCTTTGAGGTTGCAATTGGTTTCTGCTAATAATCACCACTAGATGGCAAAGGAACACCTACAGGGAAACAACTCAATGGGGAATATAAGGAGCCGGTGACACTATATACAGGTATAAGACACATCGGATTATAGGGTGCACTGTCTGCGTTTGAGGAAATTGAATGCTTCTAGGTGCACCTTATAGTGCGGAGAATAGGATTAATCAATTTTCCAGCTCTTCCAAACTCTATTTTCATTCACATTTTTACACTTATAAAACCACAACCAGCTGGAAAGCAAATCTACATTCCTTTAAAAATGTACAAAGAGTGTGTGGGTAGCAGCACCCTAAAATTGGCATGTTGGGCCAAATTGTGTGTCCCTCAACTCACTCTCTGTTACTG